TCATATGAATTTTAGGATTGTTTTTTCTAATTCTGTGGAAAATGATGTTGGTATTTTTTGTTTTTGTAGAGACAGGGTCCCCATGTGTTGCCCAGGCTGGTTTTGAACTCCTGACCTCAGGCAATCCTCCTGCCTTGGCCTCCTGAAGTGCTGGGATTATAAGTGTGCTCAGCTGATGCTAGTATTTTGATAGGGATTGCATTGGATCTGTACATTGATTTGGACAGTATGGTCATTTTAATGATATTAATTATTCTGGTATGTGAACATGATATGTCTATCCATTTTTCTTCGTATCTTCTTTAATTTTTTTCATTAGTGTTTTATACTTTTCCTTTTATCTCCTTGGTTAAATTTATTCCTAGGTAATTTTTTTTTGGTAGCTCTTTTAAATGGGATTACCATCTTGATTTGGTTCTCATCTAGATCATTATTGGTATATAGCAATGCTAGTGTATTTATTTGTTGATTTTTGTATCCTGAAATTTTACTGAATTCATTTACCAAATCTAAGAGTTTGGATGTCAGTCTCTTTCCCAAGACTTGGGAAGTTTTCAGCTATTATTTCATTAAATATGTTTTCTATACCTTTTTCCTTGTCCTCTCATTCTGGAATTCCTATAATACGAATATGTTCTTTTACTGTTACATAAATCCTGTAGGCTTTCTTTATTCTTTTTAATTTTTTTTCTTTTTTGTCTGCCTGAGTTATTTCAAAAAGGCCTATCTTCCAGTTCAAATATTCTTTCCTCTGCTTGGTGTAGTCTAGTGTTGAAGTTCTTGATTGTATTTTATTTTTTATTTCATTCATTAATTCTTCATCTCTGAGAGTTCTAAGATTTCTGTTTGGATCTTTTTTTAAATGATATCTTTCTCTTTTTTGAATTTCTCATTCAAATCATGAATTGTTTTTTCTCATTTTGTTGAATTTTCTAACTGTCATCTCTTATATTTCACTGAATTACCTGAAGATGATTATTTTGAATTCTTCTTCTGGCATTTCATATATTTTCTTATGATTGGGGTGTATTATTGGAGAATTTTTATGTTCCTTTGGAGGTGTCATGTTTCCTTGCTTTTTCATGTTTGACGTGTCCCTACATTTATTTCTAAGCACTGGTAGAATGGTCATTTCTTCCAATTTTTTGGAGTACTATTAGTAGGGAAAGACTAATTTCTGTGGATGGGTCTTGGGATGTCAGATGAGTAGGGTGTGTTGGCTTTAGTTTTAGGTGGACACAGTAGTGTGTTCTCTGTGCCGATTCTTCAGCTGTAATCCAGTGAAAAATCTAGTGACGTTTGCGAGTATCTCAATGGCCTAGGCTGTGAGTTTGTAGCCATGGTGGTGCAGCTTTGCAGGGGCTGGACTCCAGGCTATTTCTCAGGCCTGGAACACAGGCATGAGGCCGTGCAGCTAGCCTGGGGGCACGTCCATTGGGAGCAAATCTGGGCTGTTTCCCAGGCCCTGGGCATGGGCGTGGGGTTGCTGAGCAGGCCTGGAGGCATGTCTGTGGGGGTAGGGGACACCAGGCTGTTTCTCAGGCTCAGGAGGCTGGCAGGCAGTCACCCTCAGCCTAGTGGCATGCCAGCTGCGTGGTAGCGCAGAGGCCCAGTCTGGCCGGTTCAGGGTGGGCTTGCTGTGGGCGAGTCTGCCGCACTGTTTCTCCAGCTAGGAATGCAGGCAGTGGGGTTCAGTTTCCCTGCTGTGTGGCACCGGAGTCACAGCTGACCCTGGGCCCAGGCTCTGAGCAGGCAGAGTTGTGGCACTGCAGCTGCCCGTGCAGGCTCGGTGGCACCAAGACAGAGCCCCTGGGCAGAAGAGGTGCGGTAGCTATTGGCCCCCAGAGCAGGCGCTGTGATGCAGCGGCTCTGCTCACGGGGTGGGCGGGGGTGGGGAGTGCTCACCTTGTGCCTCTAATCTGGAGCGACGGGACAGTCACGGGTACTTTTATGCTGTTGTGTCTCGTTGCCTACGTTCCTAAGTTCCTAGCAGCTTTCCAGACTGGGCTCGGGGCCTGCAAGGACTGCTGGATTCCCTGGTAGTAAGGACCGCAGGTGTTTGCAGTAGCATTGGGGGCAGGTGGGGTCCTGCTTACCTTTGCCCGCAAGGGGAGGTTCCTTGTGACTCTGGGCTGATCAGAGGGGGCCGGTGGCAGAGGCAGAGCCTCCACGCTGCCCCCTGAGCATCTGTGACCGCAGGCCCCTCTCCACCCCCCTGCCCTGCAGTGCTCTCCCGACACCTCCAGTCACATCTTGGCTGTCTCTTCACTGCTTTGGTCTTGCCTTGTGGGCAGGGTGAGCCCGGAGTGCCTCTAATCAGCCATCTTGTGGATGTCACTCTCTTGTGACTTCCTGTCGTCACCAGACATTGTTTCTCATACTTATCCACGCTGCTGGATGGATGCAAATTCAGTTCTTCACTCTTAACTCTGAATAACATTCCATTGTACGAATAAATCAGTTTATTCCTCCTATCCTACTAAAGAACAATTAGATTTTTCCTCAAATTCTTTTATACAGTGGTAGAGTGAATACATTTGTCATGTCTCCTTTTCTATATATTTGAGTTCATGTAGGACCTGGCTTTTTTTTTTCATTGTTGTGTCTGATTTATTGATTCATGCAGTGCGGTAGACGTCTCTCATGCAGGACTCACAGACCTCTAACCGATCCCATCTCTCTGAGCCCCACATGGGCCTGGTTCTTAGCACTCTTTGTGCCATGTGTTCTTTTGACACTCGAGTGAATCTTACAAATCCCTCCTCAAAATAATATTTATATAGGCTAATGCATACAGGAAACAAATGATTGTAAAATAGTTATCAAAGTATTAGAAAAACCTAAATTTATGATGTAATAATACACATGCCTCTGCAGCACCCCAATCTGTTGGTAGGTCTAATAACTGCCATAATTTTGAAGTCATGCTGAGTAAAAATGCTGAGTAAAAAATATTTTTAAGATATTTGCAGTATTTGGAATATAATTTCTACTGGGACAGTCATGGGTTCTTTTTTTTTTTTTTTTTGAGTCAGAGTCTCACTCTGTTGCCCGGGCTAGAGTGCCATGGTGTCAGCCTAGCTCACAGCAACCTCAATCTCCTGGGCTCAAGGGATCCTCCTGCCTCAGCCCCCTGAGTAGTTGGGACTACAGGCATGCGCCACCATGCCCGGCTAATTTTTTCTATATGTTTTTAGTTGACCAATTAATTTTTTTCTTTCTATTTTTAGTAGAAATGGGGGTCTCTTGCTCAGTCTGGTTTTGAACTCCTGAGCTCAAGCGATCCTCCTGCCTTGGCCTCCCAGAGTGCTAGGATTACAGGCGTGAGCCACCGCGCCCGGCCGTCATGGGTTCTTTTTTACTGTTGTGTCTTGTTGCCTACATTCATAATTAAGGGAAACTTTAAATTTTGGTTGGGGATTTATCATTTTATTCTCATCCAAGTTCACAAATTTTACCATCTGTACAATTTTATTGGATGTACACATTCTGTAACTGACATAATTTTCCAATTATTTTAGTTTCCAACTACATTAAAATGATACCTTAAATATATTGAGCTATTATGTGCCAGGAACCAGTATCAAGTTAAAAGTTTATATGCATTATTATCTCCTACAACCCAAAGAGAGAGAGGTGCTGTTTTAATCTCCATTTCACAGATAAGGAAGTTGAGGCTCGGGGAGGGGAAGTAACTTGCTCACCCGTGATCAGCTGAGCTAGGATTCAGATCCTGGCTGGCTAACTCCAAAACCCAGGTTATTTACCATCACACTATAGCATTCATAGCTCCATTGTTTAAAGGAATCAAACAAAACTTACATGGTATACTAGCCTTTAGCTACTGAGCCAGGCTAAGGTGGTTTTCACATATTGCTCGTGGTCTTGTAAGAGAAAATCAAGGACAAACTTAGCATTAAAATATATATGCATTTTGTAAGCTACATAGCAAGTCATGAGGTATAGGGGACAATATGAAATACGAAACACACAATTCTGGTCTAATTCAACTCAAAGCTCCGTCATACACCTAATGATGGAGGTAAATGTTTTTGCCTTAGGGAGGCGCTGAATTACACAGATGACCAGCTGTGTCCCTGTCTCTCTTTTCTTGTAGTAGGAAAGCCTGGGGCCAAATGTGCTGTCCATCTCTTGTAACTACCTGGGTATGAATGCCGTGTGTATGTACACGAACGTGTGTGCACACGTCACGTCACTCCGTGTTCCACTTACAGCCTTAACATTGTTTTCTTCCCTTTCCCTCACCTTTAATTCATCTTGCTTGTATCCTAAACCATGGCTTTGGTACGTGTCGACAGGCATCCCTACAATACACGGACGCGGTAGGCAGAACCCTAAACTGGCCCACGGTAACTGAGAGAGCCCCTTCTCTCAGTTAGCCAACCAGCCACAGTCCAACCCGCCTGCCGAGCCGAAGGCAGGTGTAATTAATGTCCCAAGTCAGGTGGCTTAAAGGGAGATGATCTGGGTTGGCCTGGTACAATTAGGTGGGCCCTTGACAGGGCCTGGGCCCTTGACGGGGGACGATCGGAGCGCAAGAGGGGTCCGCTGCGAGGGGGTGCTCCCCGCCGGGTTGCGGGTGGAGGCGGCTGCGTGGCGAGGCGTGCAGGCAGCCCGCAGGAGCCCGAGCGGCTCCCGGCTGAGGGACTGAGACCTTGGTCTTACAACTATAAGGCACTTTCACAACCCTGCGAGCCTGGAAGACGACCTCGACCTCGAGCTCCGGATGAGCGTGCAGAGCAGCCGACAGTGATTTTAACCCTTTGCGCTTCGCTTTTTCCTCATTATCCACTCGACATTGTCCACATCCGAGTGCAAAGGGTTAACCCTACGAGATCCAGAGCACAGGAGCCAGTCTCCTTATATCTGCAGAACGCTGAGTGGCACTGGGCGGTGTTTCAGGCCTCTAAGTTTGTGCTAATCGATTACAGCAGCAACAGAAAACTAAAACTGAATGTTTTGCTCCACAAAATTGCAACTATTTTTTGTTAAATATTTATTGTTGTTAAATCCACATTACACCAGCACAACAATCCAAAGAAGTATGATAGTACTTTTCCCCCTATAAATACAGCATAAAGATGGCAAAATAATGCTATTTAATCCCAAACCCAGCAAATTAGCAAAAAAGTCACATTCAGAAAAAATTTGGCAAGGAAGATATGACATAAGTCATAATTCTGCAATACAGACAGGTCCATGAGAGACTTTGTATGGTATCTCAAGTCCCAAATTCACAATGCATAGAAGTGTGGTCAGAGAGACTTGTGCTACGCTGCATAGAACAACTGCCACTTGGTGCTCAACCCATTATCATTTAAGACCCGGATGGTTGGTGTTCTTACAAAGTAGAAAGCTGTACATGTGAAGCAGTAACATGAAATATATGGGGTGGTACACAGATACAAAATTATTTTAAGAAATACTACGTATGAATTGAGTAACTGAGCTAAGAAAGTTCAACACATAAATAATGAAAGATAAATGTTTTGTGTAAGGAATACAGTGTTTTCATAGCAAAGTACCATTAAAGCCTCATGTTGTATACTACTTAGGCCAAATTATTTTTTTCTTTTTAAAATCTATTGGTTCCGACTTAAAACCATCAAGTCTGGTCAGAATCCGCTCAGTCTAGCTGACGCAGAGTCATACGCGTTCAGAGAGCAGCGCTTGCTGAGATGCTCGACACCACTCGGAACCCAGCACCTTCTCGCCGCGGCAGGGAGTGAGCTGATCGCTTCCACCCGCCACCCCCGGGTGCCGCTGAAGCAGTCCGTTATGCCACAAACCTGCTTTTGTTTTTCCTCCTGTCTCCACTTCCTGCCATCAGACTAGACCCTACTGGCGACTTCTCATTCGTGCCACCCTGCGGTCCCAGTCCGTGCTCAGCTCGCTCCACACATGCCCGACATCTTCGCTACACGCACTTCAGACACCCGAGATTCCCGCAGCTCGCGTGCCCCGAACTTCCAGCTGGCCCTAGATTCCCTGACTTGTGAACGGCAGTGTTTTTCTCACCTACATTTGAGGATAAATTTGAAGAAAACCAAAGAAGAGCCTGGCCTTTGCCACCTCTCCTTCCCCTTCTACTCTTGTGTAAATTGGTGCGATATAATGTGCTGGTGGCGCTTCCCTTCATCTTCCTCCTGCTCCCTCCGGACCCTGTCTCCTCCAAACACTGTGTGCCTTGCCATTCGGGGGGCTGGATGCCTTTGGTGGCATGAACCGTAATATACTTCTGCTTTATTCAAAATACTTTATATTATCTATCTTTAAATTAGCCTTTTAATACAGTTTGTATATAAGCTTCCTACCAAGGTAGCATGGAAAGAAAAATACTACACATAAAGAAAAGAAGGTTAAGAACTAAGGTATTAACCTTGTTAGGAAACTCCTGATATTAACGAAGTTTAAGGCAAGTAGTTCCTTCCTTATGATTTAATGTAAAACAGTTTGCAAAAGACAAGGCATTTACTTGGATTTCTTTGTCATTTCGTCTTCCTTTTTCGTCCTGACATATTGCACTTGGTTCGTGGTAGCTGTCTGAGTACACTGCATCTAGAACCGTTGTAAGTAGTCCCTGTGGTACAACTGCCTCGCGTTAAACACTCACACTATCATGCTACGTAGCACCTGTAGCTTATGTTTGAAGGCACTTGTAGACAATACAAATGTGGTTTCCTGTGACAACTGATTTCCTTTAGCATTTTGGCATTTCAGACCACTTTAATCACAGCAATTCCAAAAGTATCAAATTGGACAACAAATGTGAATTTTCTGTGCAATGTGTACACTTCTATTAGCATCACCTACTTAAACTCTAAGTTTGGTATATATCAAGTAAGAAAAATGTTATTTTGGTGTTTTTTTTATTTCTTATAGTCAAAGGTATGTTTCTACCTTTTACATCATGTGACAAAGGACTGTGTTGTTGGTCAAGGCCACAGCGGTTTCAGCATTTCAGTGGCGACGGGCGGCTGGGTTACAGGTCCTCGCTCTCCACCAAGGCGGCATTCAGCGTCAGGGGAGACGGGCTGGCTTCAGGCTGGAACGCCGCTCTGATGTCTAGTCCCTGGTCTGAGAGCGCCGCGTAGCGACTGGCAGAGGGCCGGACTTTCTTTGGCTTGGTGCTCTGTGGCTGCTGTTGCCACTGGGCTGCAAAGAAAAGAGTAAGGTTTTCTTAAACAAAGATATGCTTGGAAAGCTGTTAGATGTTTCAGGGAAAAACAGGCTGTTTTGATATGTAGCAGGCACATATTCTTTGTGAAGGACTGAACACAGCCATGTTTCCTAGAAACATGGAAAATTTAGGGACACCGTTGCGTTTTACCTGCAAGTTGCAGATTTATTGTCTATACAGGGTAGTGGGTATTTAAATGGCTAGATTCTAAAGACCAGGTGTAGTTTATCCGTAAGTAAATACTGCAGCACAGGGAATCCTTTGAAATAGTTGATAAGCTTCCTAATTCTCACCCTTCTCCTTTTTAAAAATATTTTTCCTTTAATAATTATAGTAGTCAGCAATTCTGTATCCATGTTTTAACAGCAATCAATGGAAAGGAATCGGGCAGTAGGGAAGGATGAGGCCACTCATGTCTTAAGGAACCTCACAAAGTTATTTCCAAGAAGAGGTAAAATTTGAGGGCAGTTCTTAGTTTTATTTTCTAGTGATTTTCTTTATGTCAGTGGATCACATAATGCTATTGTATTGGTTTGTAAATTCAATAGGAATTGTTTTCTTTAAATCTAGGATGCATGTACACAGATATACATACACAAACACAAATCTATTGCTGAGCTGCTTAAGATACATTAACAAGAAAAGCACTAAGCCACGAAAGTATGCATTCCAGGATCAATGGCACACATACTCAGAGTGCATTAGGATGCTGTGATAGGATTATAATATAGGAAGAAATGTTAAAAGGCAGTCATTTGCAGAACACAGTAACAGGAAAATGTGAAAAACATGTAGTAGTTATGCCTTTGCCTACTGTTACTCCTAAGATGCTTGATTGTAAGGAAGCCACAACTAACTAGCTAATGTAAGATAAATCAACATGCATATTTTGCTAATAATTCAAAGTTCCTGAATGATACTTGGGTATTTGTTCTCCTGGTGTGGTTCATTATTAATGTCGAGAAACTATAAACAGAAAGAGAGAGCAATGTGAATTTTTTTGACAAATAAAACACCATAGTCATTTACAAGATCACGTAAGAGTAACACGATATGCTGTCCGGATGTCTCAATTTTCAGAATTTAACGAGTAAACGTAGCGAGGCGGGACGGAGGGGCACTCACTATAGACGTCCAGCCTGGCCGTGCAGGACACGATCCCGGCTTCGTTCTTGGCAGACACAGTGTACCACCCGGCGTCGTCCCGTGTGGCCCCCTGGATGAGCAGGCAGACGTAGCCGTGGTTGTCCTGGTGCATGCTAGGGAAAAGGATAAAGTCATTAGGGTTCTAGATTTTTAAAAAGTGGCTTTGGACACGAAGCATCATTTTTAATCAGATCATTAGAAACAGAATTGTGCAAGCGGCAGATAGTAGGGTCAGACTTAATTCGGTGGAGGCCGCGGTGCCATTAAAGTTAACGGGGGAAGAGCCGGCGCCAGGAGACCGAATCAATCTGCGCACTTAACCCCTGGTTGGAGGCCTGCCTTTGCAAAGCCCACAGAGCAGCCCATCACCGGGAAAGCAGATGAATCCGCCCTTTCTTCCAGATAGATACAAGGATAAACTCTTAAAAACACATTCCCACGAGATGCAGTCAGAGTGTGCTTCATCACACAGCGTTATAGCTCCCTTCTAAAGCTTAGTCCTAAGTTAGGGTAAAGAGTGACCTTTGTCTTCGGCATCATCAGTAACGTGGCAGATGCACGAGTCGTGTGGACGTATGTCGCCACGTGCCGTCAGGACGACGGAGCAGGTAGGGTCGGGCCGCGCCCCTGTGCAGTCTTACCTCACCCGGTCGGTGCTGTGCGTGAGCGACTCGTTCTCCTTCTTCCAGAATATCTGGGGGGGCGGCACCGCGGCCACGCGGCACTCCAGCCGCACCGGGTACCCGTCGGCCACGCCTGTGTTCTGCAGCTTCTCAAGGAACACGGGCGGTTTGTGTGCTTCTTTAGCTGAGAAAACATGAGACAGGTCACCTATCCGCCATCTACAAAAGGAGCGCTGTAAGAAACTCAAGGCCTTTACAAGTATCGCCTGAGCAGACCTTTCATTTTATAATACCGTTTTCCACTTCAGGCGGTGAGATGCCAGTCCCCCCTCCAGATTATTCCTTTGCCAAGAAAAGGGTTATGGGCTTCCTTCCACTCCTTTAACTTCCTCAATTAATTCAGGGCTGAGAGGCCGGCGCAGCCATCTGCTGCCCAGACGCCTGTCTGCCGGCCGAGGGAGGTGACGGCTTGGCAGCTATCCTGTCACCAGCCCTCACGGCCCTTGCCAGCCACCGCCACCCAGCGGTGTCGAGAGAGGCGCGTAGTTCTTGGAATTTGGTCCACTTCGGGTCCCTCAGTGCCGTCTGCAGGTCTGCTATGAAGGCGCGGGCGTTGTGTCACTCCCGGCTTAAGGGAGACATGCCGTACATAGGGTTCCAGGGGAAAAAGAGAGGTGGCATCTTCATCTTAATCTGGCAGCTTTGAGCAGCTACCCATAAACTAGGGATATGCACCCTATAAATCACAAATTCCACTTTGTATTTTGAGGGAAGCTATGAAACAGACAGCTTTATTGCTTAGTCTGAAAAAAAAGCAGAATAGAAACACTCTGAATATCACCATCCAGTGGGGATTTTTTTCTTGGATCACTGGTGGAAACCATTTCAGAGAAAGAACAAGGTTTCTTTTCTTCGCAACTACCCACAATCAGTTTCTTTCGCCGGCGTCGTCCCCTCCTGTGGAGTGACAGGCACGCGCAGCCCAGCAGCGGGGTCAGAGCCCCCCCCAGCCCCCCAGGGCGAAAACCCGGCCTGGAGCTTCCACACGCCCCACTCCGACGCCCGGGGCGGAGGTGGAAGCTGGTGTCTCACTGGATCTGACGTGCTCACGCAACCCGCGCTGTCTCAGGGCAGCGGGACAGACGCTCGCCTCGGATTCTTCCTGGGTCCCAGTTTTGAGAGGACAGGAAACGTGTAAAACAAGCCTTGACGGCACACAGCGACCGGTAAGAGTCACGTCTGCTGCCGCCCCGGAGCTGCGCCGCGTGGGCACCGGCTGTGTGTGGGGGCGCCGCACGTCTGTTATTTGGTCCTCGGAAACACCCTGCCAGGCGTCACGCCCCCCATTTTACAGGTGGGGAAACCGAGACGCAGAGATGTGTTGTGTGTGTGCCAGAGCTCACGCAGCTGGTAAAGCAGACGAGAGCTGGGACCGGAACCGAGATCAGACACCAAAGACCGTGCACCCAGGTACTGTGTGCTGTCGCCTTCTGACAGGTGCTAACCGGGGCAGATGAGACGCCTGTCTCTTGGACCCTCAGGTCTCAGTCCAGAAGGGCAGACAGGATCAAGAGGCACATTGAACAGGAGAAAAAAAAGGACACTTATAGTTTGAGGTTAGACCGCAGAGGTCCCCAAGCTTTTTGGCACCAGGGACCAGTGTCGTGGAAGACAGTTTTCCCACAGACCAGGGGTCGGAGGGGAGCAGAGCTCAAGTGGTGATAAGTCGCCCATTTCCTAACCGTTTGGGGACTGCAGGGTTAGAGGAATAAATGAAATCAGTCGTAGCGTGGAGGAATATACTTTGTACAAAACTTAAATGCATGGCTATCATGTAGTGCCACAGCCCGCACATTTACCACACTTTAGTGGGGAAACATCTTATTGCTATGACTAGAATCACCATCCAAGACTTCAGCAAGGACCTGTGTTTTGTTCTTCTTGCTACTCTACTTCTTGAAAAAGCTCAGGGGCGCACAGTGGGTTTGGAAGAGCACTGGGAGTTGAGGGCCGTTTTGAGTCTGACCCTTGGCTCGCTGTGTGGGACCAAGATCGCTCCGGTCACGTCACAGGGCCGTGGGCAGAGAGACGCGGTGCGTAAGACGTAAGTGTGAAGGGGTGTGCTTTCTTAAAAGAGATTAGATAATCAGAATCTTCACTTAGGCCTAACTCCTAAGAAAGATATAAAAACCTTTGCATGAATGTATTTTCCTTTTAGGCTTCTCAAAGGGTAAGACTTCACATAACGTTTTTACAAAATTTACCTATGGTATAAGCAATTAAAAAAGCAAATACGGCCAGGTGAGGTGGCTCACGCCTGTAATCCTAGCACTCTGGGAGGCCGAGGCGGGTGGATTGCTTGAGGTCAGGAGTTCGAAACCAGCCTGGGCAAGAGCGAGACCCTGTCTCTACTATAAATAGAAATTAATTGGCCAACTAATATACATAGAAAAAATTAGCTGGGCATGGTGGCGCATGCCTGTAGTCCCAACTACTCGGGAGGCTGAGGCAGCAGGATCGCTTGAGCCCAGGAGTTTGAGGTTGCTGTGAGCCAGGCTGACACCACGGCACTCACTCTAGCCTGGGCAACAAAGTGAGACTCTGTCTCAAAAGAAAAAAAAAAACAAAAACAAAAACAAATACAAGCTTAATTCGACTATGACATTGAGAATAGATGATAATATTGTTTAAAAGTTCTGAATTTTAACATCATTGCACAGTTTGTTAAAAACTAGGAATATACTATAACTTAGTGCACGAGCAAAGTCTGGTTCCTGGAATCCGTGCTGCTGTTACCCTTTCCCTGTGTAACACTGGGGGCGGTTTGTGGCAAAACAGAAAGATTGAATGATAATGGCTGCACCGAACCATGAAAAATTAACATTTCTGATTTGCTAGGCCTTATAACGTGTCCTCACTGGCTATTTTGATGATACAATTTTTCAGCAGGTCAATTTATTGTCCACATTTGTTAATGCAGAATTAGTTTAAGTTTGTTCTGGCAGAGAGAAATGATTGACAGGGTGAGCCTACCAGCAACCACCAGCTCCAGGCTGAACGCGTTCTGTCCTGCTCGGTTGGTGGCGATGCACGTATAGATGCCGGCGTCCCGCGACGTGACTGGCTCTATGATCAGGGAGTGCACCCCGTTCTCTCGCACAAGCATCCTGTGAGCGCTGTCGGGGCGCACGGGCCTTCCGTCCAGCTGCCAGCTTAGATCTGGGGCTGGCAACCCGCTGACCTATACCAGAAGGGAAACGCGTGTAAATGTTTCTGGCATTGTAACAGAGTGCAGTCACTGTAGCTAAGAAACCAGCCTCAACTCCTCCTTTGGCAGTATGAGAGATGGCTTTTAGTGTCAACTCATGTTTCTCTTTGCTTAAAACTTTCCAGTGGCCTCCTGAGCCCGCATGGGCTCGCTTCTGAACATTTTTTACTGAGCCAACCTGGAGACAAGCGAAACGGGGGATTAAGAAAGTTTCTGTCACCTTACCCAGGGCTGTACAGATCCCTGGGATGTCGTTGGCACCGGGCTTCGAGCTTTTTGAAAAGATATCAAACAACAACAACAAGAAACCCTTAGCTGGCATTTGTACGCAGTGCTATAAAGCTCCTCGTCAAGAAGCGGTCCTGGCTGTGGAGACGTTAGCTAATGCACCTGTCAGCACATGGGGCTGTTACTATTTCACAAGCTCGAAACTGAGTCAACGAGACCAATGCAGAATTACCCAGAGAGCACTCTCAGCAAATCAGCATCACAAAGGAAACGCCGTAAAACCGTGAGACCTGGACAGCAGTGTTGACTGGAGATCCGAGAGAAGCACATGCAATTGCTAGTGACATGTCATGCTGCAGAGGGCCAGGATGGTCGCCATCTGCCACCGTCACCACCACTGCTTTGCCCTGGGTTTCTGGTGGAGGAACGCACTGCTAAGGAGGCCTTTTCACCCTGCCCCAACTGTACTACTGGGAAGTCATACACCACGACATCAGTGCGACTGTGAAACAATTCTCTGAAGAACCAGCTTTACCAAAATCAGCCAGAGAACTCACAAATTCCATTCCTGCCATTTGTGTGGTACTCATTTGTACCACCTACGGGAGATGGCCTCCCACCACGCAGGCACAAATGTCTAGAGCATTTAAAGAAAAAAATTAGACTCGGATTACTGGTTAAAGGATGGAGAGATTTTGGAAACACACAGCATCGCTGGGCAGCGTGGCCCTGAGAGGCTCGGGCTAGCATGCCACCGTCCCCTGCTCTCCATGGACACCGCCCGCCCTGTCTGGAGGTCACCAGGAGAGGTGTGGATGGTCACAAGCTGTGTGCTGAGGCTCACTGAGGTTTTTCCCAAGGAAAAGAATCGCACGATTTCAGAGTACATCCATGCTTAGTCAGTTATTGGGGTTTTTGACATTTAATGACTTGCTAGAAAAAGCTGTAAAAGCAAAAGACATCTTCAGGTGATTGGTGTGTGTCCTGCATATGTCTGAGTAAAAGTGCTGTTTAGGACAAGGTGCCACCCGGTGCTGGGCACGCAGGGTGGGAGGGCACACACTGTCACACTTCTAAGTCCCCCTTCGTTTTGCTACTCAAATACACGCTTTTGCTAATAGAGAATTGCTTTTACAAAGAGATAATCTCTACCTATAGAAATGTATCATGAAAACACCCATTTTACACAGCAATTTTGTATCCATTTAAACTAACATTTTATCAGTAAAGCGCTATTGTTTAGATAAACAAAAAAAAAAGAGGGAGTGGACACCCCTGGGAGCTCCTGGCCCTCCTCAGGTTTGGGAGTGAAGCGGCGCTGCGCGTTCTCGCTTCCCTAGGGCGGGTCCCGACGCTGAGGAAGCCCGGCCTGCGTGGCAGGGGGGACGCCCGAGGCCCGGGGTACACACAGACCCCGATTCCGGCAGACTGTTCAGTGGGCAGACTCGCGCGCATCAGGGCAAAGGGCGAGCCGTGTGGTTCTGCCCCTCGCCTAGCGCCAGCCCTCCCGGCTGCGGAAGGCAGGGAAGCGCGGCCTGAGGAACCAAAGTCACCGTGTGAACAGACCCACCCGAGCGCTCAGTGCGCGGGGAACCCGGCCGAGAGGAGCGCACCTGTTACCAGGGCGTGGGGGTGAGTGTTTCCCCTAAGACTCAGCAGCGGGGCGCGGATACTCAGTAGGCCTAGGAATGCACGTCAGGGAGGAGTGGGCTTTTTGGAGGAAAAGCAAGCTGTTGATTTAGTATTCGGTTTGTTTTCAAGATTTTTTCCCCCTGTCAAAGCTAAATACTGACAATTTTTTTTTTTCTGAGGTAGGTATCACTCCATCTGTTCATGTGGCAAAAATTTTTCACATTTTCTCTGTCTAGGTCAGATCATCATGGTGAAATCCACAAGCAGAGATTACTTTTTGTTTCCAATTTTGTTTCTTTGTTTGTTTGTTTTTAAAGACAGGGTTTTGCTTTGTTATCCAGACTGGAGCGAAGTGGTGTCATCCTAGCTCACTGCAGCCTCAGACTCCTGGGCTCAGCGATCCTCCTGCTTCAGCCTCCCATGTAGCTGGGACTGCAGATGCATGCCACCACGCCCGGCTAATTTTTCTGTTTTTTGTATAGACGGGGTCTCGATCTTGCTCAGGCTGGTCTCAGACTCCTGAGCTCAAGTGATCCTCCTGCCTCGGCCTCCCAAAGTGCTGGGATTATGGGCATGGGCCACTGTACCTGGCCTCCAATATTCTTTTAATGGTAGGGATTTGAGGACAGTTATGTCCTTGTATGGTGAAATAAAGTACCATTATTTCCTAACTATGACTAATAATAGAGATAAGAGTATGGGGAATCTATAAAATCATTCAGACCCACCCTCTTGTCATTTCTTTCATATTTTAAAATCTCAGACTTTATGTAATTTTGCCCCTATACACAGGTCAGCGTACATTTCCAAAAACAGACTTTTCTTCTTATATAATCAGAGTTCCATTTTTATACATAAAATTAATAATCCCTTAGTATCATATAATCTGTCTGAAACAAAACTTCCTGTTGATTAAAAAATGTCATTGTACAAGTGGTCTATGTGAATTTAAAATACTTGTATTTTAATAAAATAAAATTATATTTATACATTGTATACAACATATTTAGCAATATGTATACACTGTGGAATGACTAAATTGAGCTAATTAACATGTGATGAAAACACTTAAAATCTACTGTAAGCAATTTTCAAGTATACCATACACTGCCATTAACTGTAGTCACCATGGCGAACAGCAGATCTGTTGAACTTCCTGCTGTCTAACTGAAAATTTGTGTCCCTTGACAAACACCCCACCTCCTCCTCTCCCCCTGCAGTCCCTGCTGAGCACGGTGGCTCTACGCTCCGCTTCTGTAAGTGAGTGCATGTGGTGCCTGCTGTTCTGTGCCTGGCTCATTTCACCTAACATGACGACCTCTAAGTTCGTCCACACTGTCACAGGTGACAGAACTTCCTTCTTTTTTAAGGCTGACTAGTATTCCACCCTGTATATATGCCACATATTTATCCTTTCATCTGGTGACAGATGTTTAGCTTTGTTCCACCCCTTGGCTATTATGAGCAGTGCTGCAGTGAACATGGTGGTGCAGACATCCCTGTGACACACAGGCTTCGTTTTCTTCGGCTACACAGCAGCAGTGTGGATTCTTAATTATAGACTGAAAATGAAGGAAACGCACACACACAAATATATACACGTGGAAATTCAATTTGTGTACCTACACTGTAAAAATATTTATGCTGAGAAAAATATTTTTTGTTACATTCATTCTTTTTATACATTTTTACCAGCCCAGCTTTAAAAAAATCTTTTTTAAATTTCAGCATATTACAGAGGTACAGATGTTTAGGTTACACACATACTGCCTTTGCCCCACCCGAGTCAGGGCTTCAAGTGTGTCCCCCAGACGGTGCGCACCACACCCATTAGGTGTGAATATATCCCCTCCCTCCCCATCTGCCCGACATCCGATCAGCGTCACTACTATATGTGCACTTAACCTTTTGCACTTGGATGTCGAGTGTGACTTGACACGGTTAGCATGGTAGCAGCTCGTATGTTGAGCCACACTCGACACGTAGTTTCACCGCGGGGGGAAGGGGGATTTTTGTCTATTTTTCCAGTATCTTTTCTTGTTTTCATTAGCATGAAAGGACAAGTAAAATGTAAATGCAGAGATGGTACACTAACTTCCAGGGGTAGGTTATCATCCACTACCTTAGAGCAACATTTAGATGGAAAGCTCCATGTAATTACACCCCACCCTAACAAAAAACACCAAGATCGTGTTGTTTGTTCTAACAGAAAAATCAAAGGAGGAAGAAGAGAGACGATTTATATTTTCGAAACATGTGAATGTAAACCAGGTCTTCATGTGGGTGAATGTTTCAAAAATTTGAAATATAAAAAAAATCCAAATAAATAAGTTTGTATGAAAAGAAACTCCAGTTTTTTATTCTACTGCCGCACTTTGTAACATCTGGGGTATTTAAAAAGTTAAATCCTGAGTAGAATAAAGGAATCGAGAAAAAAGCAAGTGAGTGCAAAGGGTTAAGTGTTAATCAGTTAATACTGATTTGATGGTGAGTAAAGTACATGTGGTGCTTGTGTTTTTCATTCTTGTGATACTTCACTTAGTAGAATGGGTTCCAGCTCTATCCAGGAAAATACAAGAGGTGCTAGATCACCATTGGTTTTTTTTTTGTGGCTGAATAGTACTCCATGGTATACATAGACCACATTTTATTAATCCACTCATGGATTGAGGGGCACTTGGATTGTTTCCACATCTGTTCAATTGTGAATTGTGCTGCTATAAACATTTGAGTGCTTTTTTATAGAATGTCTTTTGTTCCTTTAGGTAGATGCCTAGTAATGGGATTGCTGGATCAAATAGTATTCTCCTTGTAGCTCTTTGAGGTATCTCCATATTGCTCTCCACAGAGGTTGAACTAGTTTGCAGTCCCACCAGCAGTGTATGAATGTTTCTATCTCTTTGCATCCACACCAACATTTATTGTTTTGGGACTTTTTGATAAAGGCCATTCTCACTGGAGATAAGTGATATCTCATTGTGGTTTTGATTTGCATGATTAGAGATGTTGAGCATTTTTCATGTTTTTTGGCCATTAGTTTATCTTCTTTTGAAAAGTTTATCTTCTGTCTATGCATGTCCTTTGCCCACTTTTGGATAGGGTTGTTTGATTTTTTTCTTGCCGATTTTCCTGAGTTCTGTATAGATTCTGGTTATCAGCCCTTTATCAGATGTGTAACATGTGAATATTTTCTCCCATTCTTTAGGTTGTCTGTTTGCTTTTGTGATAGTTTCCTTGGCTGTGCAGAAGCTTTTTAATTTGATCAGATCCCATTTATTTATTTTTGTTGTTGCTGTGCTTGCCTTTGGGGTCTTCTTCATAAATTCTTTGCCTAGGCCAATGTCTAGAAGAGTTTTTCCAACATTTTCTTCTAGAATTCTTATAGTTTCACGCCTTAGGTTTAAGTCTGTTAACTACTGTGAGTTGATTCTTGTGAGAGGTGAAAGGTGTGGATGTTGTTTCAGTCTTCTACATGTGGCTATCCAGTTTTCCCAGCACCATTTACTGAATGAGGATTCTTTTTCCCAGTGTATGTTTTTGTCTACTTTGTCAAAGATTAGATGGCTAAACAAGTATGGTTTTATATCTGGGTTCTCAGGTCTGTTCTACTGCTCAATGTCCCTGTTCTTGTGCCAGTACCATGCTGTTTTAGTCACTATAGCCTTGCAGTATAGCTTGAAGTCTGGCCCAGCTTACTTTTTGAAAACACAAAATAGTGTCCAAGTAAGTCCCTTAAGCAGCTTGTATTAGCATTCTGCAATCCCAGAGAGAACCAGCAGAGGGAGCCCAAATAATTTTTAAAAACCTTATCCATATTTTAGAGCTAAACTTTGAAGTTTATAGTATTTAATTAGTGAGGAAAAAAACCAACAAATTTCAGAGCGATGGTTCGCAAACATTTTTGTCTTCAACCTCCTTTGAGAAATGGATTAAAGTCATATTATACAATTTTGTATGTATTCTAAATTCTAATAATTTCAGCATTCACATACCTAATGAAGCCTGCCAAGGACCTGGGTTAAGAAGCCAGCAGGAAAACAGGTGGAAGAAGGATGTCACTGTAGCTTCTCTTAGAATTAGAAAATGAGTGGAATAAAAGAGTAGATATATGGGTACAAAACTTGTATGAAAAAGAAGGAAGATCAACTAATAATTAGTACATACAGCAGATTCATCACATTTATTACTTCAACAAAATGTGAAACTTACAGGGATAAATAAAACCCCCTGGTGACTTTCTGGAGTATGGTGTACAGGGTTCTGAGTGAAGAACATATTTGATATAAATTTAAAAGTAAAAAAGTATATAAATACCTGGTATGCTTCACTCATTTTTTCTCCTCTTAAGCTGGAATCATTTTATACCTTATATAATTTCCCCAAAAGGAACTACAGAGAAATGGCAGTGAGGGGAGAAGGGAGGCAACAGATGTGCAGCAGTAAGAAGCGCTTACTTTGCAATCCATTCTGCAGAGTCTTCCTTCCTGAACAGTCAGATCTCCAGGTGCCTGCAAGAAGTGAGGTCTGAAAAATCGCTCTTGAATCGGTTCATTTTCGTCTCCACTGTCCCTTGATCTAGAACGAGGCCTTGAAACAAGACAGATAGATAGTTAAAGAAATAGCGGTAGATAGTATTTATTTCCAGACTTTAGTCATCTGTTTTCTTAAAATACACAGGGTAATAATGTGATTTCCTTATCCTATCCCTATCTCCAAGATTGACACACACAAAAAATCAGAAAAGCAAAATCTTGTTTAATTTGGAAATTTACCATGAATTTAATATTCTGCTAATTGCAGGCTAGTATAAATCACAAAAGGGGAAATGGGGAAGAAATGAGGTACTATATTTTAACATTTTTTCCCTAAATATTTTTAAAGTTTTATGAAAAGTAGCAACAGCTGTTGCTCATTTATTACCAAATCCTTTTCAACAGAAATTACTGTAACTTTCCACTGTGATTTTTAAATTTGTAGGAAATTAAAAGTTCTTATTATTCTATAAAAATTTAATATATTTTTAATCAAAATTCCTTTCATATTAACTAGGAAAACAAATTACATTCTTAGGCAAGTTTTCTTTTCCATTAGTTATCCATATGGCAAAAGGCATTATTGTTTTCTTTAACAAATAAGATAGTGCAAGTCCAGATTTTGTGCATCTCTCTCACTTTTAAGTATGTTGGCAGAGGAACCTTTAAGAGGAATACGATTTAAAGTAATTGCATGGAACACTGAAGAAAAGAACAACATATCGAGGACAAATTCTGTCAATAATCACCAGAAGATACGTTTAAAAATATTTACCAGAAAAAGCAAGGGTGGAACAAATGAAATGTTAATATACTAGGCTAATAATTATCAGCTTTTTAATACAGTTTACTCTTCTCCAAGTACTGGAATCACTTTATACCTTATATAATTTCCCCAAAAGGAACTACAGAGAAATGGCAGTGAGGGGAGAAGGGAGGCAACAGATGTGCAGGCAGTAAGAAGCGCCCTGCTTCTTACTAATTTATGAGGAAAGTGCTCTCTAGGACCCAGTGACCCGTGGAAACGCTTAAATGTATTGAAGACCACAAGGAAAGCAATACAGAACAATGCAAGACAATGGACCCAGTACTAAGTGTGTTGTATTGTGGCCATAGACACGTGCCTAGGGTCGTGTGGACAGATAGGGCCACAGGAAGGTTGGAATTAGATCTCCACCTGCTCAGGTGCCAGGACTGTCTTCCAAACGCTGGACAGAGGTCTCTGTGGATCCAGCCACATGAGAAGGTGTAGACACACCCCTTGTCTGATGCTTGTTCGGCTTCCCTCCTCGCCCTCTGTGAGCCTGTGTGTTGTCTTCACCAAAGGTGTTTTGTATCTACAGCCCACAACTTACAGCTGGGACTACTTGGGGATACTCTGTAAAATATCTAGGAACCCAGGCTGACAGGCTGGTTGACTTATCCATATATATGTATTTTTTTTTAAGTGCAAATACATTACTAAGAAGTAGTATCTTTTCTCAGTCTCTGCCAACCATTATTCGGTCTGCATCGATGTCAGACTCAGGGCTACTAGGAATGGGAAGCACACTCTATTGTGAGCAGGTATCTGGGCACTGATGACAAGTCTTACAGGACTTGTGGTCTGATGGTCTTATGTTTTGAACTCAGTGACTGAAAAATGAACATTTAACAAACTAGCTGATTTTAAGAAATCTAGTGGCAATAGCTTATAATGGTCAACCCGCACGGCTGTTGGTTAAAGAAGTTTGGTTTTGAACATTTGTGTACCATTCACTCATATTTTCATGTTAATATACCATTTAATGGTACTGAGTCTTTATTTCTTCGTATATAAAATGTGCCCTGTCTATCAGACTAACGATGGCACATATTGGAATGGGCCGAGCACATATTAGCCAACATGTGTTCCCGCTCCCTTTCTGCATACCAAAGGAGCATAATGGTCACAGAGCCGCCCGCTGTAAGTTTGTATTCACGTTCAATCTCCCAACTGTGGTCACTTTTATGGTCACACTGATTCTGATCGTACTGAATTTATAGTGATTGATAGATAAAATAAGAATAAAATAAACAAAATGTTAGAGACCCCTCTGGGAAAGCACGTGTGACATACCTTCTGCCGTGAGGATGGCCCGAGGGGGAGCGGGGGCTGCGGCCTCTCTGGTTGACGGCCTGCACCATCAGCCGCCCCGTGCAGCTGGCGCGGCCCTGCGGAGACAGCAGGAGGGAATGATCTGCCGTGCAAGCTGCTGGCCGCCCTGCACCGCCTGCCCACTGTCCTGTTCTCCACAGGCACACCTCGTTAAAAACCAGCCCGCCGCTTTAGGGATGACACCAACCAAGTTCCTCAGTAAACTCCACAACGTAACAGACTCAGGCCACAGGGTCCCTTTCTGAACCGTTAAGTAAGCTCTGCTGCTTCATCTAGGATGACACTTAAAATGACAAGCCCTCTGAGTGACCGTAACCTGCTAAGCTCCCGGCGGCACATGCAGTCGAGCTGTAAGGTACAGCAGGGCACCATCGCCCTCTCGTGATGGCTCCATTTTCATAGTCACGTATCCACAGGCAGTGGCCAATTCCGAAATCAAAGCTAGACGTTTTCTATCAGGTATTTTTACTAATATACTTATAAATGTTAGTGGCAACCCTTTCCCAAACCGTGCGTCACAAGAGACGTCGGCGTGAGAAACGAGCATTATGGAAGAAGCACGCGTGGATGACAAGGAGAGCTTCAAGGCTAAACGACACCGTGTTCTCACAGAATGAACGTATTTGAGATTAAAAGCCACAAGCAATTAATAAATACCTAAAATATGTGGGTTATATGTTAAGGGCCTATGTGATGAAAAACTATATTTTATCTCTTAAATTTATCAATTTAATGTTTTATGGGGCACAGCCAGAGGGGGGTTAATGGATGCAATGACAGCCAGACAGGAGGAGTAAGTCCTAGTGCTCTATAGCTCAGTAGGGTGACCATAGCTAACAACAATTTATTGTATATTTGCAGATAGCTAGAGTGGATTTTGAATGTCCCCAACACAAATGATAAAAAGTGACGCATGTGCTGAATACCGTGACTTGATCATTACATTTTGTATACACATACTGAAATATCACCTTGTACCCCATTCCTATGTATAATTCTTATGTGTCAGTTAAAAATAATACAAGCAAAAAAAGACATTTGATAAACACTGTTACATGTGGACAGACAAAAGCAATACCCAGGGGACCCAGAGGATATTGACAAGTCACCCGTGGTCACTCTGGTTTTTGTTTTACCTCCTTAATTTTCCCTTCACTGTCACTGCACAGCAGCAAAACAGATGATCGTTCCCCTCCACTTTCTCCTCTCCTCCCTCAGGAGAACGAGAAGATGGACTTCTAGATCTGACGGTGACCAGAAGGCAACAGCAAGAGAGGAACAGTGAGAGGCGGGTCTCACTCATTATCGGACTTGGTGGGCTCCGGCTCAGGGCTGCGGGGCAGTCCCCGTGTGCATTCGCACTCAGAACGAAACCCTGCGCCGGCTGCACCTGAGGCTCCGCTTCCTGCAGGTGGGCGAGGCGCGGTGGGGACCGGCAGAGGAACACAGGGAAAATCCCGCAGCGAGAGCCAGGGAAGGGCGGGACACCGTCTGCGGGCCTCTGGGTCTCCCAACGCCTGGGCTTCTTGAGGGATGTTACCACCCAGAAAAGGCAAAGACACGGGAACGTAGCACAGACTGGAGGAAAACCGGGAAAGAAAAGGTCGCAAAGCAGCAGCCTAACTAATCTTACAGCACCACACTGTCACTCTAGAGTCAGCATTTGCCCGAGGTCACAGTTAAAAATGCTGCCTTTCCTAAAAGCTGCCAAGGAGAGACGAAGTGTGACATTACGGAGGAAAGTCATTTCTAACTTAGGTTGTTTCTGAAGCTCAGGACACACAATGCAGATTCGCTCTTGGCAAACTCTTGGGATTCCCTAAACTGGCTTGAAATCTAAAAATTAATTTCATCTAACCCCTCCTAATCTGTAGTTGCTACAGGAAATCTAGATACAACTTGCTTAGAATGAGACCCTGTTGTAAATTGCCCAGGTGATGCATCCTACTAGATGACTTAACAAATGAACACGTAAAACCCACGATCCTTTTTGTAGGCTGGGGACAAGGAAGCGCACGTTTTGTTTTGCAGGACCAGCTCCAGCTGTGCTGGTCCGGGATGCGGCCCCCTTGTTACCTGCTGTGCTGCTGCAGTGACAGGACACGCACAGCTGGACGCGCCCTTTCTCGTGTGAAGCCCAGAGGACCCACAAGATAGGGGAATATTAACTCATCATTTAAGTGGTTAGAAAAATATATAGTCTTAAACTCAAACTTTATACTTGACCTTGGGTAAGCAGATGTGGGTTTTTTTTTTTTAATCCTCTAACCTGGATTTGAGTTTTAACTTTTCCTTAAAGCTTTGGGCAAATTACTGAGTTTGTTCAAGCCTTCCTTTGTTTGTACAAACGGGGATGCCGTATATTAATATATCCCACAGGGATGTTGTCAGGTTAAACGATACAACCTACGACGACGGCCTTATCGATATCACCTGGCGCGTAATGTCACAGGTTATCACTACTGAAGTCGTCACCGCTGGCCCCGTGCCCCCGTGGGTCTGAGACGCGTGTGAGCACACACATGCATCCAGGGGATTACTGTCAGGGGCCCCGGCAGCTTGGCTAACCCCAGTGCGAATTTCCAGGAGAAGATACTGTACTTGAGGTAGGCGCCTACCTTTTTTTATTCCGTCAACTACCTCTTTTACCCGGTGTCTGCCCTGCGCCTCCCCACTCTTAACGCCGGGATGGCCTCACCCAGGCTCTGCTGGAACCAGCCTGCGTCCGCAGCCAGCTCCGCCTCGTGGCCAAGCCATGTCAGGCGCCAACTTTACCTGGCTGAGCTTCCTCCTCTGTAAAACAATTCACACTTTATGGGTTCTTATGAAGATTAGAGTTAATACGTGTGAAGTGCTTGGCATTGTGTTTTCCACAAAGTGAATGCCAAATTATTATAGCGCTCGATAAGGATGTAATCACGACACCCGGATGAACACGAGGCGTCCTTTATAACTGTGTTGTTCAACACAAAGATTTTATTTTTGCATATATAATGGAGTTTTCTTTTTCTTGGTATTAGAATATAATTTACTCCAAAGGAGAAGCAAAATTCTTTCAGCAGGAGGCAGAATACACGGATAGTAAAGCGACTTTCTCAACTCCGTGTGGAGGCTGAATGGCGCCGGGCCACGGCCGCGCTCGGCATGCGTGTGCGTGCGGTGCCGCGTTGGAGGTGTGGGGACAGCCGCCTGCTCAGCTCTGACCACTCCCCACGCTTAGGTAAACCTGCCTCCTCTGCCTCTTTCGAAAAAGAGAAAAATAGGGCAAACAGGTTGGCAGATTATTCTGGAAAGAACACACACGTCTATACTGTTTTCAAGGTTTTCGCTGCCGCTGCTCTGAACTATACATCATGCAAACACTGCCCTAGAGTCCCTTAAGTTCTCAATTTTAAGAAAAAAGAATATGGTTACCATTTGTCACCTTTGTACTCCTATGCCAGCCTTCACTTCTGAACAGGGTGTGTGGTGTGGTCTTCAGGAGGCAGAATTATTATTTTGACTGATACAGTGTTATTGGCTAAATATATCTCTAACCAATACATGACACGCAGCATTTAGAAAGCATCCAAACTAAGAAGCTGTCTAATTTTGACATTTTAATTTGAAAAAAATGTCCAAGATTCAGTGAAGCATTTCTGAAAAGATGCCTTCAATGTGTATAATAGAAAGTTTAGGTTTTTAAATCTAAACATCTTATTTATGAGAAAGATCATACAGAATTAATATTAATGATTTTGATCATACTATCATGCCTGTTAACCCTGGTAATCATCATAATTACTGGGCTCTGATGCACTTAATGCCTTGCCTTTGCTTTTCACTTTCAAATTATATCTGCTTTATTATCAAGACATGAATAATGGGAAGTGAATATTTAAAGCGAAGCTTGAAATGAGCCAAGAAACCTTATGATGCTAAAACAAAATGTAGTCAACAAACTAACATTTTATATTTAACTCAGCTGTGTGTTCTTTTCTATTCCAAACAAATCCACAGAGTTTAAAGCTATAGTACAAATAAGAAGTCTGAATTCTTAAAGTGATGCTGTATTAAACATCCAGCTTGTAAAGATTGTTTGATGCCTTGTGCAAGGCCAATTATTTATATGATATGGAAATAACATTTATATTTCATAGTTTACGAAATTTAACTTGTGGCACACAGGTCTTTATAAAAGCTTGCCACTTGTATACATAATGCAATCTAAGGAAACATCAAACTGCAAAATAGCCATTCCCAAATCCAAGTGCAATACAAAGTAACTTAGCAACGCAACACAACAAAGCAAAACATTCGTGTTTAGTTGTGTCTTAAAGATAGGATTAGAGTCTAAAATAAACTGTATTTGTGAGCCTCATCTTGGCGTCGTGTTTGGTGTAACACTGCAGTCACTCATTAGTTTGCTAACCCATGTGACTGCACTGGTCTCTGATGAATTGATGGGGCTGCACACACTGAGTCTGAGACGGAGCCCAGTGTATGTTTAGAGCTGTGTGCTCTATCCAAGCAGAATTTGGATGCAGTCAGCAATACCTAACATGTTTTTTACTCCCAGAAGATTAAACCAGGTGGAAAAATATCATATTCTATAAAATATTCTGCTGAACTTTAGTATTTTCCTCCTTCCTTGGTTCTCACCCCTTTCTTGGCTGCTCTCCGTAATTATTTTCCGCTGCTCAGGGGAGCTCTGCCATCTGTGTTTCATCACGGAACTAATTTTTCCACCCTAGTCCTTTCCTCTGTCCCTTGGTCATTTCACATCATCCAGACTACAGTGCGCTAGGAAAAAATAGATTCCGTTGTCTCCCTTTCAAGCCCCAGTGCTTTTAAAACTTGGAAAGATTTAAGGCAACTGAAGGGCACCACGGAAGTGAGGAGTCGGCTGTGGTCTTCTGCCCAGGACACCTTCTGCTTCGGGGACTAGCAGATCTCGAAAGATCTGGCTGTTGCTTTTGAAATCTTTTTCAGTGCCTACTTATGACATGACTCTGTTAAATCATGTTTTGATTCATAGATTACAGGAATAAAATACTTTATGGCAACAGACGTTATGAAGTTGAGGTTATGCCAGCATTAACACTTCCACAGCAGCATTCCTATAGCAACAGATGGTAACTGACGCCAAAGGTCAGGCAGAAAAAGGGTCTGTCACCTGTCATGGTTTAAATGCGATTTCGTTTTCCTAATAGGTGGTAAAGCTCATTCCAGTTACTAGGCAATGATTCTTGAAACGTTTATCTGGCATATGTGGTCACAGCTGCTACTGAAGACTCCAGGAGTGGGAAGAAGGAGTTTCACTCTTGGAGTTAGAAATCGACCAGGCGACATGCCCAGAAACTTGGAATAACTGCTGCCGCGTGGCGTAAATATCAAAATTCTCTCACAGCCATTTCGATGGGATGCACGCTGTACACAGTCTGAGGTCTGCCTTAGGATTTCCTCGGACTCTCCTCATGGATTTCCCTTCCCTTTGCCTGCCTGTGGTTATTTAGGTAAAGGAAATTCTTAGCTCCACCTCTTAGCTATTAACAAAATGCTGGGTGGGTCAGCTAACCTGTGGAGACAGTAGTATCGGCACTGGTCTCGTGACTGTGGCCCTGGGGTTCTCCTGCCTTTGGTTGTCACAGTCGTCATGCCCTTGCTAGAGTCACTGCAGGGCGGGCGTTCTGTTAGGAGAGTGGGCTTCCGGCTACCTGGTGTAAACTGGTCTCCTCCTGGTTTCTTTGTCTTTTCTCCACGGGGTGGAGCACACACCGGAGAGGGCTGACCCTGGGGCTGACCCTGGGGCCTGGGGGAGGGCAGTGACCGCTCTTGCGGGCCTTCCCCTGGCCCTAGGGCGCTGGGCGCAGAGCACAGCCTCCCAGCTTCACGTGTAGCTGTGGCAGCCACCCCCCCCCCAGCACTGGGGGGTGGCCATCCTCCAGCCACGGCTGCTCTGCCCGGACTCGCAGCTGCTGTGGCACAGCACAGCACATCTGCTGCCCGGCTCCTCCCCTCCCACGAGGCAATGAGAGGAAACGCAGGAGCCGGAGGACCACACGCCAGCCGCGCATCGGGTAGAGACTCCCCCGACTGACGGGCTCGCTCGCCCGCAGTGCTGTGGCGTGGGCACCTAGGCACGGAACAGACCCATTTCGTCTGGCCCTGTGGCCCCTGCGGGTGGCAGGATGCTGCTTTGGGACAGGGCGGCCAGCGGTCTGAATTAAAGTCATGGCAACAGCACGTACCGATAGCGCGCCGTGTGCCAGGCGAGCTGAGCCTCTTACACGTGCTGTTTAAATCGCACGATTGTTTTACAGAAGAGGCACAGGCAGAGGTTAGGTGGCTTGCTGAAGGTCACACGGGTCATGAGTGGCAGAGCTGGAACTCTGCCCTGCCAGCGCTGCGCTGTGGTCCCGGGCTCTGTCCCGTCTCCTTGCTTACCCCCTTCCCTTCCTCCTCTTCCTGTGCTTACTCAGTATTTAGTTCGTTTGTTCTCGGGAGTTTTTTTTTTTGGCTTTATACGCTGGGCTCTGGGTAAGATCACATTTAATTTTTAAAAATTTTAATTTAAAGCGACAAACTGTCATTGTGGACACTTGCAGGGTGCGGTGTGGATGGCCCCGGGGCGGTCTCGGCAGCTCCTTTATCAAGGGACTGCACCGCAGCTGTCCAGAGGAGGTTGGCTGGGCAGAGGCCCCCGCGGCCGCGCCGTCTAGACCCTCACTCGGCCTCCGCCTCAAGCACTGCACCCTCCCCATTTAGAACGTTCCACGTGAAAAGCACGTCAGCATCAGGTGAGAAGGGCAGAAGCAGACTGGCAATTGCAGCTGTGCTCCTGTGCCGTGCAGACGGCGTGCTCCCACAACCGCCAGCGCTGCTGGGAAAGTGCCTTGGAATGACCGTGGCCCAGGGCCCGCAAGTGCTTCAGAGTCACACCCTCCCTCCCCACCCCCAGGCCTGTCCTCTAGGCAAAGGAGGATAAAGCACCCGGCCTGAAGAGAAATTTTGGATTTTGTCGGGCTCTCCACCATTTTTTTAACAAGCAGAAAACTGAAAGTTGAAATTTGTTAATAGTCAAGAAAACATACTGAAAATACAGTAAGAAAAGAAAGCAAGTTCCATTTTTGTTCCCCTAAATATACCAAACTTGAGCACAAGTAATCATTATAAATGCATCTTTGTAATAGAGGTGGGTGATTACGACTGTTGGGGTGACGGTCATGTATTCACTGATCAAAAAATTAGAACTTCAAGAATATGCGTCAACGTGAACTTTTCATTGACAGTGAAGAGTTTGCTGTGCTCTATCACAACCTGACTAGCTGGTTAATTTGAGTTTCATATTAATATTATTGCTGAAAAAATACATAACAATAGAATAATAGAATAAACTTATTTGTAAGCTTTCTTAAAGCTTAGTTTGTAAGCTTTGTTAAAATTATTTATAGCATTTTCTAAAACTAAGTATTTTCTTTGAAAGAAATAATGAAATATGGAATGATATAAATAGATCAGAGATTTTGAAAAAGATAAATTCTGTGACTGGGTGCGGTGGCTCACGCCTGTAATCCTAGCACTATGGGAGGCTGAGGTAGGAGGATCACTTGAGGCCAGGAGTTTGAGACCAGCCTGAGCAACTTGCTGTGACCCTGTCTCTATGAAAAATAGAAAAATTAGCTGGGCATGGTGGCATGTGCCTGTAGTCCCAGCTGCTCAGGAGGCTGAGGCAGGAGGATTGTTTGAGCCCAGGAGTTTGAGGTTGCAGTGAGCTGTGAGGATTCCACTGCACTCCTCTAGCCAGGGTAATGGAGCCAGACCCTGTCTCAAAAAAAAAAAAAAAAAGAAACAACTTCTGGAGAATCTTCATTACTTATATAATAAAATTATTTACTTTAACTTTTTAAAAATTACACTGAGCTCTTATGGTATAAAGTCACTTCTTACTTATTCCTGTGTCCCACATGTATTCTGGTGCCTAGAATATATACAATGTTCAATAAGAAACAATTTGTAGGGTTGAATTGAGAACATGATACCCAGCAGACTCCTACTAAATTTTTTAAGAAGGCAACTGATTTTTTTGACCCTAAACCTAAGGACAAATGCAAGAGAAAACATTTTGATGAAAACAAATCCCAAATGCTATATGTAGGTATTATCAAATTGTAACTTATGCTCTTATACAGTACTTATTGATGAGTGGGTATGTATTTTAAAATATTTTACTTTATTGAGTTTTTCTACTATAGCCCATACGTGCCATTCGCTCTCTGTCCTTTTCCAATTATTTTCTTCATATACTCCTACCTGGTATTATTTATGTATTTGTTTACTGGCTTATTTTCGAATATAGGATTCTGTCCAGGCCGTCACTGTGGTCCGGTCACCTGCATACCCGGCCCCTAACACCGGCGAAAGGAATGCCCTGCCCGTTCCTGCAGACAGACGAACACCCGGTAGGATAGATGACACACAAAACAGAGACTTTTTCTGTCCTCTGAAACCAACATGCATGTAGAATTTGGAAAATGGTTTCGTAAGTCAAAGAAGTGTAACTTCGCCTTTTAATTAAGTAGTTCCTCTGTCCAGTCGGACGCCTGTGGGCACCAGACCCAGAGCTGGGCGCAGGCCCGCACTGCCTCACCTGAGGGTTGGCAGCCATCACCGTGTAGTTCCCGTCGTCCTCCAGGGTGGAGGCCGCGGCGTGCAGGCGGCACGTCCCGTCAGCGTCTCTGTGGATGGTGTAGTGGTCGCTCCTGGGAGAAATCTGCTTCCCGTCCTTAAACCAGTAGATCTGTGAAAGGAAACAGGCTTCGAGTGTGTGTTCCATCTGGGGTCTTATTCTATTTGGAGGACTGACAATAACAACATCGTGGTCTGCAGATCCGATCTTTCATGTTAAAATGTTAAACCAAACACCTGAATAGCACATTAATTTTTGAGTGAAAAAGGGCAGGTAGCAAACAAGTTCAGTTGCATTTTACATTTAAAAAATTATATTCCTTCTTTCTGTTTTTACTTAGGTATTACATCTACACATTGTTTATGTGGTAGGGTATATACTGAACTGGGGCAGCGGTTATTTCTGTCAGGTGGCGCATTATAGGCATTTTTCTTTTTGCTTCTTTCTTTTCTCAAATGTACTGGCGGTTAAAATGTATTATTTGTGAAGCAAAGACAAAAAGGTTGTCTTAGAGAACAAAAAAGACCCCAAACTGTAGTCATTCTGCTGAATTGTGTTTGCTGAGTAAGAGGGCAGCAGGCTGGGCGGTCACAGTTGGGGGTCGGTGATAGCTGGAACACGATTGCTTTAATTCTAGACCAACCAGCGTATGACTGATGGTTGAAAGCTTGATAGCTCTCCTCATTATGTTAAAAAACAAAACAAAAACACAGTGTATTGAAAAGTACAATAATTTTCAGGTCTATAACTTGGGCTGATAAAAAATTGTGAAAAATAAAAAAGCAAACTTTGATTAAATAAAAATTTTAAAGAGGTCCAGCTACTTCTCTAGATCCTCGTTCCTTCCCTCACCTTTACACAAAACCCTTGGTCTGAGGCTGTCTGCTGTTTTGCTATTACTTTGGATTTAGCCTGTGAATTGCAGGTGAAAGGTGAGCCCAGTGTAATGAATGACAGTGCCGGCAGCCCTAACAGCACTGAGATGCTGAACTAGCACCTGCATTACCCTGCCTCCAGACTCACTGTTAGGTAAGAAAATAAACACTCTGTTTTTTTAAGCCACAGCAAGTTCTTTTGTCATTTTTGCTCCTTGCAACGAAAAGCATTTCTAACTGATTCCCAGCAAAAGAAACCTACTTTAGACCCTTTAGTTTTTAAAATAAATGTCTTCCTTAATGTAAATCAATATGCAAATTGAGAACACAAACTGGAATTCAAATCCAACTCTCTGTCAAAGTGTTTAAGTCTGAAAAATCTTTCTAATTTTTTTTTTTTTTTTTTTGAGACAGAGTCTTACTCTGTTGTCCGGGCTAGAGTGCCGTGGCATCAGCCTAGCTCACAGCAACCTCAAACTCCTTGGCTCAAGCGATCCTCCTGCCTCAGCCTCCCGGGTAGCTGAGACTATAGGCATGAGTCACCATGCCTGGCTAACTTTTTTCTATTTTTAGTTGTTTGGCTAATTTCTTTCTATTTATAGTAGAGATGGGGTCTTTACTCTTGTTCAGGCTGGTCTCAAACTCCTGAGCTCAAGAAATCCTCCTGCCTCGGCCTCCCAGAGTGCTAGGATTACAGGTGTGAGCCACCACGCCTGGCCCTGAAAAATCTTCTTGAAACCTACATTCCTAAGATTGGAAAAGGCTAGAAAAATATATAAAATATATAAATATTTAATTTAAATGCACTAAATAATTGCATGAATTATCAGGATCTGACTGCCATAACTTTTCCAACTCCTATTTTTCAGATAGCTCCAAATTTATAGAAAATTTTATTACTCTCTAGAACATAAATTAATCATTAACTAGACTAATAACTTTCATTTCTAAAAATTATATAAAGCATCATACTTCATAATTATCATATTCTTTGTGATGGTTGATTATTTCTGACAGAACAAAGAAGTTGTAATTAGTACACAATTTCTTCCTTTTCCATTCTTGCCATCATGCCAGTTCTTTAGAGTTATTTCTTTCCTTGAATCATATTTTTTAATCTCCTTTAAACTTGGAATACAACTTTCAAATAAGAGTTAAGAAATATTTCCAGAATTGTTACCAAGACTAATGGCAGGGGGAGGAAGGGGGTACAAGAATGAAAACAGGGTAATTAGGAATTATTTTCAGTCTTCCCAGGTCTCAGTGAGAACAAGCATTCCAAGGGAGGAATACATTTTTTAAAAAAATATAAGCTAAGAAAGGAATGCATTTCTTTAAGGGTAATGAGTATTCGTGCTTTAGTAACCCTAATGTAGTCTATGTGACACATGCCATAGACAGTTCTGGAACAAACCAGGGGAGGAGAAGGGCTGGAGAGCAGAAGGAAAGCCGAAAGAGGAAAATCTGACGATAAAAAGTTTGAAATAATTAAGCCTCTTAAACCTGTGAAACATTTAAATTTCTATGAGAAAAAAACAAAAGCCCATCTTTCAAGTGAGCTGTAGTATTCTATGAGAATAGGAATCAATGATCTTAAGCCTTGAGTATGGTTTAAAAATAAGTGGGACCTTTTTGTGAATATTTTAGAAGTTCAAGATATAATTTTTTTTGTCAAATCTCATTCATAAGCTGCAGCTTTAATACATTTGATATCATATTGTGAGTACATAGCTATTATCCAAATTATGCCAAGAATATGGCAAAGAAGTTTTCTATAATAACAGACTTTATTTTGAAAGTCCCATTTTATTAGAAGTGGATAAAAGTTTGAAAATTTAAGGCTATTTTCTTTTCTCTGTCTTTCTCTGATTATGGGGTTGGAATTCAGTCTTAAGGAAAGTAAACGATGATAAAACATACATTATTAGGGAAACAAAACAGTGCATGGAGCCGCAGGGAATTAATGCCTAAAAGTATCAGGTATCTTCATACTACTTTCCTTTCTTCCATTTTGACTCTCATTTCAGCTCTTTTACACCATTGTTAAACTTTTAATTTCAGTGAGTATTTTCCATTTCTATATGCTTATTTTACGAATCTACAGTTTTGGAACTGTCCTTTCATTATAGTTCCTATTCCTTTTTAAACTGTTTCATTACTTTAAATACAGTTATTTTAGAGCCTCTTTAACATTGTTCAATATTGTGCAATACTCGGCCTTCTGCTTTGCTGTCTCTGGCGCTACTGACTCTCGCAACCGGTCGTCTGTTTCCTCGTGGTCTGTACGTTTTTTCATCGTGAACTAGCGTTCAGTTGCGTTTCCTCTACCCTCCACCCTGTGGAAGGCTGATCCTCCTCAAGCTGGGCAAGTTTACAGGACACTTTTGCTTGCTTGTAAGGGTTTTAATCGACCAGGACTACATTTCGCATTCATTTCCAAACGTTTGGCTCTGTATCATGCGGCAGTGTAATTTGAGGGTTTCCATTTCTCGCCTTTTTTACTCTTTTCACTCGAGTTCTAGGGGAAATCGCGCCCCTGCCGCTTGCTTTGCCGGGCGGCGAGCAGTCACGCCGGCCTCCCCTTAGACACGGCAGCGGCTCACCCGCCGCCCCTGCGGTGTGGCCGGCTCCCGCCAGGGCGCGCTCGCGCTCGGGGCGCCGGGTCGGAGTGGCCCCGAGCAGGTCCCCCGCCCCTCGGCACACGCGGGGGGCCGCGGTTGTCCGTCGGACACTCGAAGTTTCCGTGCCCGTGGCTAGCTCCCTGCCCGTGCAGAGCCCGGTTCGCACCCGCGCCCGGCCACCCTCGGCTCTGACCTCGGCCAAGTTCACGAGCCGCGCCCAGCTCAGTGTGCCGGTTGGAACCTGGGACTAACAGTGAGGAGTAAGTAACATGGGTGTGAAGGCTCCCCGCTGGTTATCCACGCGCCACTCCCTGGGGTCCCTGGGGCCGCACGCTACCCTCCAGGCCCAGATTCCGCTCCCCGCCGCCCCGCTGGGTTCCGACGCCTCCCGGAGACGGCCCCAACCCGAAAGCGCTTAAGACGTTTCCGCCCCAACCTCCTCCTCTTCCTCAGAGAAAGGCTGCGCGGCCGGCGCGCCCCGCTCACCTTGGGCTGCGGGTTCCCCGCCACCCGGCACGCGAAGGTGACGGGCATGCCCTCGAAGACCTTGTAGTGCTTCAGCTTCGTCTGGAAGGTCGGCGCGGCGCCGCTCCCCGCCGGCGCGTCCCCGACGCCCTCGTCCCCCGACTCGTCCACGGCGGACCTCTCCAGCCGGTACTCGATCTCGCTGATGAGCCGCTGCTCGCAGCTGGACACCTTGTATTCCTGGAGCACACAGTGTGCGTGAGCCGCCGGCCCGCGCCCCGCGACGTGACGCCCCGCGACGCCCCGCGCCTCCCGGCCCCTCCCGCCGCCCTCACGGCCGGGCGTTCCCGCCACAGGCCCGCAGACGCGGCCTGAGCGCGCCGCAGAACCGCCCGGAAGGGCGCATACGTGGCGTTTCGGGTTGTCTGCAAGCCCTATCATCCAAGAAAAAGGAGGAAGAAAGAAAAAGGAAGGAAAAAAAACCCAAAAGATGAGTGTGTTTTTTTTTTTCTCTCTTGGGGCAGGGGAAGAGGGAGAAGGACAGAAAAAGGCGAATGCAACGGCTGTGTGTTCCCAAACTGCGGATAAAAACAAAACGCAGTGGGGCGCCGATTTCCTCCCGCAGGAGGAACGCTGGGGCTGGTGCGGGAAGTGCGTCTCTGTGGAAGGCTGGCAGGCGTGTGGCGAAGCTGCAGCGTGAATAGAATTTTAGCAGAAGAAGAATGGGGAAAAAACGCCACCGTGTTTTTCACCTGTAGCAGTCCCCCGCCTCCCAGGGGCCCCATCTCAGCTCTGCAGCTATCAGGAGCCCACTCGGTTCAAAAGAAAAAAGGAGACCTGACGGTCCAGTCAAAATTTTGTGGCTAAAAAATGCGAAGAACACATCAACATCCTATGATGTGATTAAAGCGACTCCTCTAGGGTGTTTTTTGGTTTTCTGCCTACGAAGTGGAATGAAGACCAGGCAGCCCATTGTAAAATATTTTCTATTTAGTATTAAATAAAAGACAATTTTAACTCTACTTTAAGGAAGTTAATCCTTCAAAAAGTTTGTTGGTTTGAAGAAATACAATGTTATGAATAAAACCACACACACAAAAATACACTACAAGTTGTTTTGTCTGATTACTGCTATCAAATTAATCAATTTAAGAATTGCCATCTTTTTCTCCTAGAAAGGTATACACAAACGAAAAGCTTAATGATTTAAAGTTCAGAGTATCTACGAATGACAGAATTAAATTCAAGTTTGTAAATAAATGACAAGAAAAATCATGTTCCAGTGATTTTGTTCATCTGATATTAAACAAAAACAGATACTCGTCCTAGCATTTATAAGACATGGCAATAAAGACAGACCCGAGGGTGAAAAGGAAGAACAGAAGAAAACAGACACAGTGAAAGAACAGAGAGCAGAAAGGTGAAGAGCGTGACCTTTTGACCGTCCAGGGGATTCCCTACGGAAGCCTGAGGAGACCCCATTTCCTGTAACGGTAGAAAAAAAGAAGTGAAGACTAATCACAGAAATAATAATGTAGCAAGATTTCTAGTTTTAAGTGAAATGTTTGTGGTAGCTGCATTTAGCAACAGAAAAACATTCAGATTTTGAAGGATGACAACAGACACGAGAAAGAGATCCTTTCAACTTGTTTTAAAACTTGAGACTGCATCTGGAAACTCCAGATGGAGGCAGTAGAGATTACAAAGCAGCTTGCATCAAACCCAGGAAGGGACTTTTTTGGTGGTGGCAGGGGCACAAACAGCACGGTAGATCCTCTGCTGATCGGTGACCTACAACCACAGGTAGAGGTCTCCCTCTTTCGCTTCTTTGACTTACTACCGTGCGAGAGTGACACGCATTTGGTAGAAGCTGTCCTGTGAGTTCTGTTTCTCACCTTAAGTAGAGTGTTCAACACCTCATGTGAGACAGTCTACACTTTATTATGAAAGGCTTTGTGTTGGATGGTTTTGCCCAGCTGTAGGCTGATGTCAGTGTCCTGAGCGTGTTTCAGGTAGGCGAGGCCGGGCTGCGTCTGGCAGGCTAGGTGTATTACACGCATTTCCGACTTACGGTATTTTCAGCTAATGATGGGTTTATCAGGACATAACCCCATCCTAAGGTAAGGAGCATCTGTATATACGTGAAAGAAGATAAAGACACAGTGTCTTTTCTGTGCATGGATATTTTACTTCGACTAGATATTAAAAATGCACAGTTGACCCTTGAAGAACACAGGTTTGAACTACGAGGGTCCACTTAGACATGGATCTTCTTCCTCCTCTGCTACCCTGAAGACAGCAAGACCCACCCCCCTCTTCTTCCTCAGCCTACTCAATGTGATGATGAGGACGGAGACCTTTACCATGATCCACTTCCACTTAATAAATAGTAAATATGTTTTCTATTTCTTGTGATTTTCTTAATAACATTTTATTTTCTCTAGCTTGCTTTATTAATACAGTACCTCATACATACAACATACAGAATAGGTGTCAGTCAGCTGTTTATGTTGTAGGTGAGGCCGCTGATCAGCAGTGGGCTGTTTGGGGAGTCACAGGTTACATGTGGATTTTCAACTGTGCAGCGGGTTGGTGCCCCCCCCCCTGCCGTTCAGGGGTCAGTGGTACCGGGAAAGCTATACTAGCTCCTTCAAACAATGTCATTGGAAACTAATTTTGCATTAAAGCACAGGAGAGGAAAAACAGGAAGATACTTGAAAGGAGAATAAACTGTTAAATAAGAAGACAGAGGAAATAATTCTGTCAGTGACTTCACACTATCTGGTACACAACATGTGCTCCGTAAATGTCAGCTATGAGGCTGACTGGTGGTAGCACAGTTTTCTGTGACTGGCTCGCTACGTCCCACAGAATGGATCCCAAGAAAAGCGTCCTTGAAAAGTAAGGGGAAAGGAGAAAACTGTTATTTTTCTAATAAATCCAGACCCACACGGTACCTGATGGGCCGTGTCCTCTTCTGGCTCCTGAATGTTAAAGACGGTGGCACTGTCGGCTCCCAGCAGCCGGCGAGCCATTCTTTCTTCGTATGTTAGCTTCTGGACAAAAGAAGTCACAAAAAGGCAAAATTAGAAAAAAAAAATCATCACTACATATGGCCCTATGAACAAGAGTAGAAAACAAAACGAGTTTTGATGTCCTCTGTAATTAACTGTTCTCCCTCCAGCCTCAGACAGCCGCACCTAACAGGCATCTGTTTCGTTCCCTCGATTCCGGGGTGTCCCCTTCATCTCCTCCCCCCGTCCTGACGGCCCCGTGCAGAGAGCCACCGGCCGAAACCACGCAGACTTACAGCGAGCAACAAAGCAGAAGCCACACAGAAAATGCGTGCCATGTGCTTATCTTTAATGACAAACACAGAGGGAAAAAAAGAGATGCAAACAGCACAGTTTAAAGGAAATGTTTTCATCGCCACCCACAGGCTTTGGAACAGCCAAGTCCGCTCCAAGGCTGGCGGGAAAAGCAGAAAGACGCTCCAAAGGAGAAGAAACCGATCAACAGGAAGATGAAGAGAACAGGTGTCAGGGATGGAGATAATCCCGCCAGTCACTTAACAGTGCCGGGCACATGGTACATGCTCAGTAACTGTCAGCTAAGGGACGTTTCAGCCTGGCCGGCAGGGACTGTCCTCTCTGCTTTGAGGTTCTCACCCCTAACACACTTCCCAGGCTGCTGGGCGCATGGTGCGGGTGAGCGGAGGCCAACGCGACAGCCCGCAGAGAGCCCCTGCGTGTGGCCGTGCGGGCTGTGCAAGTGACAGCCTGAGCCCTGTTGCTGACGAACACAGCTCAGGACTGCTCGGGGGCAGGCGGCCCTCCCATCAGGCGGGCACCGCGGCGGGGTGTCTGTGACCCGCAACCGGCACTGGGAATCGCCCCGACTGCTTTTGCCAGACCGTCCTTGCACGCGACAAGTGCTGGCATTTGTGCTCTGTGTGTTGGTCCTGAAGTGACCTGGAATCTTGGGTCTGGGAGGGGCTTTCCGAAACCACCTATCCCATCCAGGGGCATTTTATAAGCTAGAGTGTGATTAAAAATAGAGAACAACCAGTACGGCGGAGTCTTGAAAAAAAAAAAAAAGTACAGAAGCTGTTTCAGATGAACTTCCCAACTTCTGAACGTGGATGCAAATTCTACTGGAAAGTCTCTAATCAGGAAAATATGCCGAGTAAATTTACAATTTCCAGTAATTGCTGGTTCCAATCCCAGCTGAAACCGGGAAGTGAAACAAGTCAAGTGCCAAACGACAAACAGCCCTGAAGTTCAAATTAGTTCATTTAATGAACTGAAAAAAGGGCAGGGGGCAGGGACAGGGAGAGGGGGCGTCTGAGTGGCAGGTCCGGGGCGTCACAGCCAGGATGCTAGCGTTTAACTTTCTCAAGTCTACTAAAACAATCATGAGTTCAGTATTCAAAGAGAGCTTTAAATGCAGACTCTCTTAAAAAGCTCTCCTAATGTTTCCACGGAGAGCGGCATCGACATGGAAGGCGGGCCGCAGCCATGGCCTCCCTGTTCCTTAGGGGCAGAAATACCAACTTCATACCTGTTATTTCACCTGCTGCCCTCAGGAGCCAAATCTACTTCAGTTTTTTTTTTAAATTTAGTTCTTACTAAGACAGTTTTGTTTCTAAAGCTTTATGCCATATGGATATACAAGCCATTGTCTACAGAAGCCAAAAGTAAGAGAATAATATGTAATATTAGGAAAAAGTCATTTAAAAATCCCATTTTCTAAAAAGGGAAAATTTACTTTTCTTGTCCTTTTAGGGTTTCAAATGTGGATATCTACAGAACTTATTTGTGAATGTTACTCACTGCTAAACAGATAAATATAATACACTTAAGAGATACATGTAATACACAACATAAATATATATATACATAATGTGATTGCATAATAGCTTATAAAAGTCTTAGCTTAACCAAGAGAATCTTATTCCATAAGGAATATTTAAATAAACAACCAAAAAGAAAAAAGCTGGAGAGATGCCTTTACCTGGCTTGAAAAAGTTCCCATAAGTATTTATTTTAATCTTTTAAAGGCTTTAGTTGACAGAGCCTGGGAGAACTTCCAAAGTATGTACATTTACACATACAATCACTTATTTCAAGGAGAAAATATTTTCCCTTTGTGAAAATCTTCCATACTCAGTGAAATGAGTAACTAACACAGAACTCATTAGAACGTTAATCTTCCTTAATCAGATTAAGATGCCCTAATAATTAAAATCAGAATTCAACACTCCTCCTATTCTCTGCCTTTCCAATCAGATGTGGCCTGTTCTCACATTTTTATTTGTCAGTGCTTGATAGTTAAAAAATCCCCAGAAAACCTAATCAACATAGAGAGCTTTCTACTCTGAAAAAGGTGTTCGAGAAGGAGATTTTATGCAAAGAGGTCCTTTTCCCCTACTTAGTTAGGAGCCAGGCAAATGGTTCTGCTATAACTCCGTCCTAGGGCTACAAGAGGCGCCTCTCCTCTGCCCGGGAGACCTGAGTTGCTGGACTCGCTTTTCCTATCCCTTTAAAACACCCTGCTGTAGCAGGGAAACAGGCCAGCAAAAAACAAAACTGCTGAGGAAACATTTAATCTCCAATGGGGGAAAACATCTCATACTTACACTTTTTTACCAGATCTATTTATGTCCTCTACAATTCTGTAGCCTTAAAACACAAATTATTTTTTTTCTCGAGTTTAGGCATCTTGCTTTCACACACCAGAACAAGAAGGTAGAACCCTCCGCGGCCGCGCCACCCTCCGCGGCCGCGCCACCCTCCGCGGCCGGCCGCGCCACCCTCCGCGGCCGCGCCTGAGCTCTGAGGCCGGCGGGGCCGGGCCTGGTCGGCGCGAGGGCGCGGGAACCGCTGCCCTTTCAGACACCGAGGCGGTGTCTGGTACAACAGAAGTGAGATGCGGCGAGCGTTTCCCTAGAGGGTAGTTTTTTGTGTAGGAGCAAAACACGCCACAGAGTCCAGATTCCCTGTGGTACTTGAACTCGTCGCTGCTGCGGGAGACACGAACCATCGGAGCACCCCCCCACGCGGCCAGGGCGGACCCCCGCGCTCCCTCTGCTTAGGACACCGGGTCACTCGCGTGCCTGCTCCCCAACCTGCCACGGCCCGGCCGCCTCCCTCCCCCTCCCGCGCCGCCGCAGGGTGGGGGTGTGAGCAGGGGAGCCGCGTCATGTCCCCCTTCTCCCAGATTCAAGCCGAGACACCAGGAGGAATGCTGAGATCCCCGAGTCGCAAGACAACTCTGTGGACCGAGGTCTCGGTGGCGCGCACGGCTGGTCCGCCCGTCCCCGTCCCTCCGTCCCTGTCCCCCGTCCCTGTCCCCCGTCCCTCAGTCCCTGTCCCCCGTCCCCGTCACCGTTCCCTCAGTCCCTGTCCCCGTCCGTCTCAGGTCCTGTCCCCGTCCCGTCCCGTCCCCGTCCTCGTCCCCCCTGCCAGTCCCTGTCCCGTCCGTCCGTCCCGTCCGTCCTGTCCCGTCCTCGTCTGTCCCGTCCCCGTCCCTCCCGTCCTGTCGTCTCGTCCCTGTCGCCCTCCCGTCCTCAGTCCCTGTCCCCCGTCCCCGTCCTCCGTCTGCCCGTCCTCCGTCTCCTGTCCGCGTCCCTGCCCCCGTCTCCTCCGCTGTCCCCGTCCTGCCGTCCCTGTCCCGTCCGTCTCCGTCCCTGTCCCCGTCCTCCGTCCCTGTCCCGTCCCGTCCGTCCTGTCCCGTCCCTCTCCCGTCCCCGTCCCCGTCCGTACCGGCTGGCCGTTGTTCAGCAGGTCCTCTTTGAAGCGGAGTTTTCGCTCCAGGTCCTGGATGACGGCAGTCCTTCGTGCCCTGGATCTCCTCGTCGGAGGCTATCCGGCCGTCCTGCCGGCGCTTCTTCGGAAACCCCCTGGGGGACAGAGCACAGCGCCGTCAGGCCAGGCGCACGCCGGCGAGTCGGGGCGCAGAGACGGCGGTCGTGCGGGTGCGCGGGAACGGGGGGCCTGGGCCGGGCAGCTCGGGTCCCCCTGACTGCAACTGGGTTTCGGAGAAGCCGGGCGCGCGGGGAGCGCCTTGGGTCGGGGGCGTGCCGAGCAGGGAGCCAGGATCCGTCCCGGGGGGCAGCCACGGAAGGTGGAAGAGTGACGGCCATCTGTGATCACACCTAGGTTCACGTCGGACTCTGCCGCGTAGTGTCAGGTTTGCGGCCCTGGCCAAGCTTCTTAACGTCTCCACGACACAGGTATAAAGGTAAGCACACACAGGAGTGCTGGGAGGGTGTGGAGAATCATATTCCGTCACACTTTGTTCAGTCTCCTGGTCCTTGCGACTCATCGTCCAACAACGCGCCCAGCCCTCTGAGCGAACGCCGTGTGTGTACGTCCTCACGTGCCCAGTGGTCAGGGGCCGGTGTGGGGACGTAAGCCTGCTCCACACGAGGCTCGGGGGCTGGGCTCCGCAGGCGTGTGCGGCGGCCCCGAGCCGCCCCCGCCCACCCGCAGGCTCTGGCGATCGGCGGCGCGAGTCGCCCTGTTGGCGCCTTGCCACGGGCTGCTCCTCCTTCCTTCCTTCCTCCCAGGGCGGCGCGGGAGACGGACGAGACACGGAGTGCCAGGCCACGGGAAACGACCCCGCCACCCGTACCAACGAAGCTGAGCTCCAGAAAAAAACGTTAGAGTTAAAACTGGAGCAAGTCACAGAAAAATGTACGTGACGCGGCGTCATTTATAAACGGCCAAGCTAAGCGGCCGTGGTTCTGAGTGCGGTCCCCTGTCAGCTCAGCCCGAGAGGCTGTGGTGAGAAGCGCGGTCCCCCTGTCAGCTCGGCCCGAGGAGCTGTGTGAGAAGCGCGGTCCCTGTCAGCGTCGGCCCGAGGAGCTTGTGAGAAGGCGCGTCCCTGTCACGCTCCGGCCCGAGGAGCTGTGGTGAGAAGCGCGGTCCCCGTCAGCTCGGCCGGAGGAGCTGTGAGAAGTGCGGTCCCTGTCAGCTCGCCCGAGGAGCTGTGAGAAGTGCGGTCCCTGTCAGCCGGCCCGGAGCTGTGGTGAGAAGCGGCGGTCCCCGTCAGGTCGGCCGGAGAGCTGTGAGAGCGCGGTCCCTGTCAGCTCGCCCGAGGAGCTGTGAGAAGCGCGGTCCCCTGTCAGCTCGGCCCGAGAGCTGTGGTGAGAAGCGCGTCCCGGTCAGGTCGGCCGGAGGGCTGTGAGAAGCGCGGTCCGCCTGTCAGCTCGCCGAGGAGCTGTTGAGAAGTGCGTCCCCTGTCAGCTCGGCCCGAGGAGCTGTGAGAAGTGCGGTCCCCTGTCAGCTGCCCGAGGAGCTGTGAGAAGCGCGGTCCCTGTCAGCTCGGCCCAGAGGAGCTGTGAGAAGCGCGGTCCCTGTCAGCTCGCCCGAGGAGCTGTGGTAGAAGCGCGGTCCCTGTCAGCTCCGCCGAGAGCTGTGAGAGCGCGTCCCTGTCAGCTCGGCCCGAGGAGCTGTGAGAAGCGCGGTCCCCTGTCAGCTCACTCGGCCCGGGAGCTGTGGTGAGAAGCGCGTCCCCTGTCAGCTCAGCCCGAGGAGCTGGAGAAGCGCGTCCCCTGTCAGCCGGCCCGAGGAGCTGTGGTGAGAAGCGGGTCCCCGTCAGCCTCGCCGAGGAGCTTGAGAAGCGCGGTCCCTGTAGCTCGGCCGAGAGCTGTGAGAAGCGCGTCCCCTGTCAGTCGGCCGAGGACCTGTGGGAGAAGCGCCGCTCTGGAGCCACTCCAGACGCGGGTGGAGGTCCAGCCCTCTGCGTTTCCACAGCTCCCCAGTGAATCTGATACGTGCAAATGTCTGAGAAACACAGTTAGGGAAACTATAAAGGGAAGAGAAGGTTTACTCAGAAATTCAGGTAGTGTTCCCTCTCAGGCAGAGTGGAGGAGGCAACTGGGGAGGGTCACACGGGGCTTCGGAGGTACTAGAAATGGGTAAGGTTCCATTTTTATTATTAAGCATATGTACACCGTGACCCCTATTTCCTTATTTATAGCATATATATTTCATGCAAGCTATTCCTAAGTTAAAAAAGGTCTACTGCAAATGTCAAGGACTGTGTGCTAGTACCCACTTCACTGATAGAGCAGAAAGCGCCAGAAGGCCAAGATCGCTAAGTCCTGGGGCCCCCAATCTCGGCTTCTTACTATCTCACCCACCAGTGCCGGCACAAAACAATCGCAAACACGTAGCAGAAGACATGGGGATCCCACGGCAGCCCTGCACCAGCCTCGCAGTCACCGGTGTCTTCCCAACCCTAACCCTAAGCCAGCACCTTTCCTTTGTCCACAGCCCTCTGTTTCTTAGCTGACTGTTCCTGATTTGTTGGTGTTCACTCTTCCATGTGCTATCAGGGAAGGATGGCATGGTTCTGACCCAGGACGATTGGGGGACTGGAGCTGGACAGAGAGGGTGAGGTGCTCTGGCTAAAATGTCCCCGTGTCTTGAGAAGAACATAAGGGAGAAATGCCTCTCTTCTCCACTGGCTCCCAGCGTCAGAACTGTGACGCCCAAACCTGCACATCCACACACGCTCCTGGAGAACCAGTAACGTGCCGGTGTGACCGGTTGTGAGATGGAGGGTGCCTGAGCGGATAATGTTTGGTACTGTGTTACCCCACCCTGGAGCTGCCCACCCCAGACTTGTCTGTAAGTCAGCCAGTACACTTCATTGACATATGAGTCTTGCTTGCAGTTGAGTCCTATAGCTACAGTGGCAACATCTAACTGATAAAACCTGTTTCAGGTTTGTCCTTTTATCTTTGCCCCCAAAGTTCAAATAGAGATGACACTAACTTTGACATTAAAGAAATAATTAAAATATTGTCAATTCGTGTTTGTAACATCTAACAAATAGTTAATCAAATTATTTACTATTTTTATTACGATAGTGTGAATTCACCCATCCCCTCCCCTGCTTCTAACAAACTTGAAGTCGATCTCTTACTTGGAATGGATCTGATATTAGGGAGGCGGCAGTGAACCTATGTTGACAGTAAGGCCACAGGAATATTATTTAAACCTCAGTTTTGAGTGCCATGCAATCCCTGGACAAAAACGGTCACTTTGCCAGCTTTCCCGAGCCTGGAGCCTTTACCTTCCTGTCTGCTTCCTGGGTTACTTGTCAGCCTTCGGTTTAACGTCTCTTCAAAAGGATGTCCCTGACTAAGTCACCCGTTTCATTACTGTAACACGCTTGTGTTCTCATAGCACCTATCACCACTATTCGCGTGTGCTTTTAGCAGCATGGCTATTTGTTAACCACAGTGTTTGTTAACAGACCATCAAATGATATTCTGGGATGAGTGAAGATGTGTACCTGTCTCTACTCTGACCTTTCCTCCCAGTCACCATTTGTGCCAGAGCGCCTGAAATCAGAACTCCATGCCAAAGCCAGCCCAGAACAAATAGAAATTAACAGTTTTGGAAGTACGAGTTCTGTGCTGGCTTTTGACTGCAGCCTTGCATCTGAGACAAGAGGACTAGGATTTGTAGTCAGCCTGAAAGGTAAGAGTCAAGGTAGCTAGCTCCTCTGTCACAGCACACCTGACTGGGGACACGTTCCTATTATTACCTGTGCGCACATGAGCCTGTCACACGACTGTCGGGAGCGCCTTTGAGGACAGAAGGCAGCACTGAGCTTTGTTCAGCTGAGCCGGTTCTCGGCACAGATGGAGGGGAATGGCGCAAGGGCGGCTAGCAAGGGCGAATAGATCGTCTAAATGAGAGGACAGAGAACTGGGTTTCAAACAACAGCCACGAGTTCTCCTCGGACAACCACACACCTGTCTGTCCATATAAGAATAGATCCTCTTACTTGGGCAGCAGTTCTCAATCTTCTTGACTCGTAAGGGCACTGAGGAGGAGGAGGATGTGGACAAGTAGGGAGGGAGTGAGGAAGGAATTCAGAGCCAGCATGAATGAAGGCACAGAAGTGAGAAACCTTTTTTTTTTTTACACTTAAAAGCCACGAGGCTTGGGCTGGTTACCTAGTGACTGTGTGCCTCAGTTCCCCCTCTGTAAAACGTGGGTATCAACAGCATGTACCTCACAGGGTTATTGGAAAACGACAATGCGCTCGTGTGTGTGGAAGCACCCAGAGCAAGCATGCCGGACGGTGAGCGCTTGGAGAGGCCCGGCAACACCCGGCGTGGGGGTGAGTCACAAGCAAGAGGCGGGCGTGGAAACGCAGGAAAGAGAAGGAGGAGTTTAAAAAGATGCCAAGAGTATCCTGACCGGAAAGTTTCCAAGATTGTGCGAATAGTCCTCAGCTCTGTTCTAGGTGCAGAAAATGATGCTGCACAAAACTAAGTCACAGCACTTACGAAAATGACATTCCATGGGGATGCAGAGAGGAGAGGAAAAAAAGACAAAAGGAAGGACACGTGAGGGGCTGGCAGGCGCGGGTGCTGGGCAGACAGCATGTCAGCCGGACCGCGCAGAAGTGGCTCCCGGCGGGCTGATGGCAGGAGGCGCTGCTGTGGCAGGGCCGGGACCCATGTGGGTCCAGAGTGAGCCCACAGGGTCAGCAGGCGCCTGGGCACCCCAGAGGAGAGGAGCAGAGCACAGTGTTTCTCGCACTCATGTTCACATGGAGCCCCCTCTTATTTTCAGAAAGTGCACTCTCACTGGCCGATGCTGTCAGAGAATGCCCGAGGGAACCGTGCTAAACCGCAGAGGACAGGGCTTGCCCGTCCAGGCTAGAGTCAAAAACTCCGCCGTGTTTGGAAAGGGGAGGTGCCAGGAAGAAGAATACACTGCAAGTTTTGAGGCAAAGTTTTGGCAATGAGTTTGTTCTTCGCTGTAAAACAAACAGGAAAACTGTGTTGAGCTGGTGTGGATGGTCGTGGGTCTGCTCACCCACACGGCACCACCTTTGCTAAAGAAGAGTGGCGGTCATTTAGGAACTAAGGCATCTGGGGACAAAAACACGCATCTCCTAAACGATGATTTGTACATTAAAAACAATAAAGTGCTTTCACGGTCAACAGTTACTGAACCAGAACTCTTCACACGAAATCCATACTGAGGGCCAACTTCACCGCCAGCAAGCAACTCGCGGCGGGCTGCCACGCCCGGGTAGGGCGGCCACCATGCAGAAACGCCTGCCTGTTTACATCGGCGCCAACAGCAAGCCACTCGCCACTGAGAATAACATTCGCGTGGCCGGGGACAGACACGCTCACACACACGCAGGCATCTGGAAGTAAAGTCTTCCAGATTGACCACCCTACATCCCAGGAGGTGTTTTGTTTTGTTTTTTTAGCTACTGACTAATCTCGGAAGCATCCTTCCCATCACGTGCCACCTCTAGGCTCGATCTTGGGTAGGTTTCAGAAGGCAAATCTCCAGAGTGCAACACTGGTCTAAGAGAGGAAGTGCCTCTAGCACGGAGAACTCTCTTCCTCTCACTACCAAAAGTCCTCTGATTCTCCTCTCCTCTCCTTTCGGTGAAACTGAGGGCACCGCCAGACTTTCAGTGGGCCAAACCTCATCAACATGTTGGCATTAGGTAATCTCTTTATTCAGAACGTCGTATATGACAACAAGTAATAGAGGGCCCACAGAGATACAAACGATTTTGTATGCCAGTTCTATTTTTTTTTTAACTTAATTTTATTAGATGAAGCCAAAGCTGCTAAGTTAAAAAAAAGAATGCACTTGAGGCACATATTAAAGGAAATACGAAATTTATCCTACCATCTAAATCTTCATATTTCCGTTCTCTAAAAACAAAGCAACGGCAACCGAGGCTGCGCACGAACTCAGTGCAGAGCCCCCCGGGCCTAGGCGCACTTCTGAGTCACGAGATGTTTCCATACCCAAGAATCCCGGCCCCCCGTCCCCGGCACACACGGAGGCCGCTTCCTACTCAAAGTGCCGGCGAATCTGGCCCAGGCACTAACCGCCTCGACTCTCTGTGCATTCTGCTTAGGTATGGGACCCCGAGGAGCCCAATGCAACCGCCTTCGGGCATGCCCGGCCCCCTCAGGTCTCAATGTTGCTCACTCCACGGGACGGAAGGATGAAGCCCCCTCACCTGCCCGTCTTCCCTCGACGCAGGAGAAAGACAGGACTACGAGCTGTCCGGCGGAGCCCTACTGGCAGCCGTTGCGTCTCCGGTTTCTGGACTGGTCGCCATCACGAACCCACTGTTCGACTTGAACGCTGCCTTAAACGAGCGTGGATCGTAAGTTAAAATTTAGCAGCTAAGTTTCCTTAACAAAATTTTCTTAAAACTAAGGGAATTTGTTTGTTTGCTTCTGCCCGAAGGTTTAACAGAACAGGCATGATTCTGGAGATCGACCGAGTCACCCACACACCGGGCCCCTAAGTCACACTATTTTCTCCCCTGCCCAGGCTTGGCCGCAGAACCCGGGGAAGTCCCTTTCTCCTCTGGATGCGGAATGGTGACAGAGTCCGCACCGTGCCTGTCCTTCTATCAGGGACAATGGTCATGCTAGGGAAGAGCCCAGGGGCCCGCGGAACTAAGCTCTCGTTCG